TGTTGAAGTGTTGTAATGAAAAGTTTTTCAGGAATTAAGGGTTATTCTCTTCTTTTGTATTATGATTTGCAAAACGGGTTTTTACTAGTCTTGAATCAGGGATTTTCCTGGTCAAGCAAAAGCACTTGGAAACTACCACCGCGCACAATCCCTAACGGTATTTATTTCCCTAACGGTATGGTCAGGTTTTACTAGTAATAGTAATATACCACATCTTAATCTTCCACCGAAACGCTCAAGTCTCAGCGCCAACCATAACCATGCTCAACTTGTTCTTGGCATGTCCTGCATGCCGCTGTGCTTCGGCCAGTCCCTGCCCTATCCATCCCTGGAGTACCTCAATCCTATTTCTTACGTGCAGCAAATTGCGTAAAAACGTGATTCATGCTACACTTTCAAGTTCTGAAGTCTTAATAAACCAGGATCCTAGAGGAAGAAGTAGAATCTTCATTTTTCACTAACCTGGTGGGTTTTTTTTTAACTGTGTCAGATGAATCGAAATAATTTAAGAAAAGTGTGTTAGGATAGGCTCATAGTACAATATAAACAGTAATAAAATAACTGTTATTTGTAGGGTATTAACGTGAAGAAGCTTGGATACGTGAAGACCTCCAATAAAATAGATTTTAGATTTGAACCGACTATGCATTATTTATCATGAACCTGAATAGTTGACATTATTTGAGGTGACAATGAAGATAAGTGGAATTTTTCAGTGGAAAAAATATAAATTATGTCCTCCCAGTTATAAAACCATCCACACGCCCATAGAGAAAAAAAAACAGTCTTGTTATTCCGTTTTTTTGAGTGCACTAAAGTGTAATTTTTTCTGCGGTTTTGTAGCTCGCATTGGAAACGGCGAAAACGAAAAGAGGGTATTCAAATTACCTGAAAAGTATTGGAACTGTCTCAAAAAATGACAAGGACTCAGTTTTTGAGAACGGACTAGTTTTAATGCTTGACTTTTCATGGCTTTCTATTTCTATCGGATATCATGCTATAAGGGGGACATTGCGGTCTAGAGAGCTGAATGCGATTGAAATCACGGTGAGGAATTCTTTTATCATAAACGTTCAGCAATATGCCTCAGAAGGGGAAATTGTAACCCGGGCCCGTGAGTGATATCGTTTTATGGGTACCTCCTCCCATCCTAGACAAGCCCTAGCCATTCACCAAGTGAATACGCAACCATGAGTAAGAATAAAGCTGTAGCATTTCGTACATAAAAGAACTCTGTGAGCCAAATTGTCACTAGAGCAAACTGTGAACCGCAATGTCCCCCCACTTAGTGTACGAGACCCTTTCGTTCCTACTCTATTTTCTGTAATTAATGTTTTCGTAGTTGAATGTATGCTATGTTCATGGTTTCATTTATGTGTATATCAAAATGCGTTTTGAAGCTTTGCTGTGGTTATTGCTGTTATCCGTTGTTTTTCGCATTTTATTGGCTTGATATTGTATGGCGTATATTACGAGTTAATATTGATACGGACTATATGGCCCTTGTCTTGTGAACAACTGATGCCATATTACAGTTTAAGGCGTAAATTGTAACTTAATGGGAAACTATGTGTCGGGTAATAATTTGACGTTAATAAAACGCACAGAATGATTCGTGAATCATGGTGGAAATAAAGTGAATGCATCCCAGTCGATACAACTTATTCCAGCAATGTCTAGTGAAAAGATCATAACCTCACAACGTCGTCCTTGACCCTCTATTCCGTCGTCGTCAACGGAATAGAGGGTCAAGCTTTTTTTTTGGGCGCTCATGTCCTTATGGAGGGGGGGGGGACATTGAGGACGGCGTATAAAAACCACGAGGACACGAGAACTAAGCCAGAGGTGGGAAACGCGGGGGAGAACGAAGGTTGCTCACGTGGAGAACGAACGTTTGTCTCACGTTTCCCTATTAGCGCTTCCCTGCCTAGGCTTGCATCTGTCGGTTAAGTGGTTCACTTGCTTCAATGACCCTCTAACCAATGATAGCCGTAGTTTGTCCCGTATATTAGTGAAAAATGAAGATTCTACTTCTTCCTCTAGGATCCTGGTTTATTAAGACTTCAGAACTTGAAAGTGTAGCATGAATCACGTTTTTACGCAATTTGCTGCACGTAAGAAATAGGATTGAGGTACTCCAGGGATGGATAGGGCAGGGACTGGCCGAAGCACAGCGGCATGCAGGACATGCCAAGAACAAGTTGAGCATGGTTATGCGTTGGCGCTGAGACTTGAGCGTTTCGGTGGAAGATTAAGATGTGGTATATTACTATTACTAGTAAAACCTGACCATACCGTTAGGGAAATAAATACCGTTAGGGATTGTGCGCGGTGGTAGTTTCCAAGTGCTTTTGCTTGACCAGGAAAATCCCTGATTCAAGACTAGTAAAAACCCGTTTTGCAAAATCATAATACAAAAGAAGAGAATAACCCTTAATTCCTGAAAAACTTTTCATAAAACACTTAACAACGCTAACAAACTGTAGTTCATGTAGCAAAGACCATAATGCGTTCAATTATGCCCGTACAGAAGTTTGAGAAATAATCAAAAAAAAACTTCTCATCATTAGTCAATTATTGGAGAGTAGCGTGGGAGTAATAAGGCACAACCAGCTTTAGACAGTCAGTTCACTCGTATCTGAAGGTCCTGAGTATTCACTCGTAAGTGAGGCAATCTACAACCACTGAAAAGAAAATGCGAAAAAAAGGCGAAGTTCAACTTTGCTTACCAACGAACTCACCTGAACCATGGGCGATTACGGCTTGACCGGGAAAAATGCATGCGCCAAAGCAAATTCGAACTTCAAAACAGTGTCGTAGAGTGGTGTCCCCGACAATAATGGAAACACATCAAAGACACTGTCATGAAGAGCGAGTGAAATCAAAAAAGAAACAATGAAAGAGAGATAGGGGTGTGCGCAAAATCGGGGGGAATTGGGAAAAATGCATGCGCCAAAGCAAATTCGAACTTCAAAACAGTGTCGTAGAGTGTCCCCGACAATAATGGAAACACATCAAAGACACTGTCATGAAGAGCGAGTGAAATCAAAAAAGAAACAATGAAAGAGAGATAGGGGTGTGCGCAAAATCGGGGGGAATTGGGAAAAATGCATGCGCCAAAGCAAATTCGAACTTCAAAACAGTGTCGTAGAGTGTCCCCGACAATAATGGAAACACATCAAAGACACTGTCATGAAGAGCGAGTGAAATCAAAAAAGAAACAATGAAAGAGAGATAGGGGTTTGCGCAAAATCGGGGGGAATTGGGAAAAATGCATGCATGTCGGTTTTTGATGTGAGAATGTATTGAAGAAGAATGCTTCATACGCAATGCTTCTTTAAAACGAATTTGTGTGTGTGTTTATTGGAAAAAAATCTAGGGAGACAACACAAATTGCGCATTTCTGCTACAAACGGGACAATTGTTGACTGAAATCATTCACAAAACATTTGAAGGCAAACTAGAATCTTCAAAACTAACTTACCTGTGAAGAATAAGCGCGCAGTTCAGAATAATAGCAGAAAACAGTCGAGTTCAGCCCCTAAGCACAGCTGGTAAATTTCGTTCCATCGATCGGCAGACGGCGGCGGGGCGAGAGCGCAGACGGAAAAGTGGCGAGAGCGCAGACAGAAAGGCTGCTTTGCACTGGTGAGATAGTGTGCATTTGGAGGAGTGCAGGCGAAAAGACGCATCGCCAGCCACACGTCTTCATCAATGAGCTTCGCCATACAACGCCAACCTTCCATTGCGCCGCAGCGCTTGAGAGTACGTGGGACCGCCCCCCTCAACCGGCGCGATATGGACTGTAACATTCGAACTGTGACTGATAATCCGTTGTCTAACGCCGAGTCGAGGTAGTCCGATGCTACCTGATTCGATGAGCATTGATAAATAAAACAAGTCGAAGTCAGTATGGGAGGCGGTCATGCTCTTGATTTCAACTGTGCGTTTCGGCAAACCGGCTCACTGTTACAGGTTATGAGTGCTGATACTCATGGTAAATAGACCAGGGAAATCTGGTAATGGTAAGGCGAAGCGATGCAACGGTGGTAAACGGTTGCACGAGTGCTCAGAAAGCTAGAGGTGCGGGCTTGAGTTCCGCCTAGGGGAAATTTTACCCATAGTCCGTATTATTTGTGAAGTTCGCTCGGCAAACTGCGCACGATTGAAGGCAAGTCCATGGATAAAACTGGTGATTAGAGCGCTTCGTAGTGATGACTGACCTGCGGAACGACATGAAAGTGGAAAGGAGCGATCAATGAAGACAGAACATGCGAGAGATCACGTTGTTCGAGAGAGCACGCTGATCTCTACATCAGTCGAGGTGGGTGGGAAGCGTTGCAACGGCCTGGCCGACTGCCCCCCGCGGTCACCGGGCACAGGTAGTTTCAGGCCCATAAGGATTAGCGTGAAACGCGCATTTTTACGATGAAGTGGGTGATTTAGGGACGGGTCGGGATCTTACAAGTCTCCGCGTATCTTCCCAATCCGAGCTAATCCAAGAGTTTGTTTGATAGCCAGCTAACAACCAAATAATCAGAATAAAGCTATATTGTTCACGTTGAGCAGAGAAATGGAAATGGAGTCAAATCTACCGCAGTTTACGCTTTCGAGAAAAATGAAAGGATATTCCCTTCAGCGGTCCATTATATGTATCGTCATCGTCCTAGTATGGAGAGTAGGAAGCAAAAAATGAGTTGCTTTCCCTTCACATTCAAAGCAGAAACAACTACACTTTGCTATGTCCAAACCGAATGAGCCAAACTGGAAATTCAAAAGCGCATCCCAATCTTCAGAAACTGTTATAGCATTCCTTATGCTAACTCAGCAAGAATGTGCCACGTCCTCAACACTGGTGGCAGTTGCAAACGACTGACGCGAGGACGTAGAACTGGATGGCTCAAGAACATCTGGTTCAGCTTTCTGCGTATGGCGAGTCGTTGCTCACATCGTGTGAGAAGCGAGTCTGTGCCGGTCCTAGTCGTCGGAAGAGATCATGGAGCTGCGACTTCGTGTTTCCAAGGAGGACGGTAGGCTGGGCGCATTCGACGGGAATGAGATTTGAGTTCACGCTTCTCTTCACTCTGCGACAAAATCTGCCTGCCGCTGGTGCACGCGTTCTTTTCCAACGAACAGTCCCCCGCCTGGGAGTGACCGTAGCCGGCAAGTTTATCTGCACGCTATCTAGAGTGAAGTCGCACTCCCTCCCTATGCGCAGATTTGCAGGCAGTGACATTGGAAGTGTAGCTGCTAAGTTCAAACTAAGATTGACAGCAAGTTGTATTGGAGACCTCTCGGTACTTTCTCTTTCCTCAGAGCCTTTGGAGATGCTGATCAGAAAGGTCACCTGTCACCCTTTTTTGACAGTAGCTATTAATGGACTGACGTTTCGGTGCTTTCACCCTCATCAGAGTCTAGAAAAGACGACCATTTAGGAAAAATTCCAGACATGTACTGATAGTTTGGGTGATCTCCTATGGGTAATGTAGGAGTAGAATCGTGTTTGTCACACATCTCATGAGCTCTGGTTTCGTAATAACTTCGGTCCTTTATCTAGCAAACTCTGCTTAGTTAGTTTCAAGATTGCTCATGGCTTAGCTGGTCCTAATCTTGCGGAGATTTCTTACATTAAATTATTATATCGTATACCTCACACAACTGGCGGTGATCTCACTCAAAATTTACTTCGTTGACGATGTTCTTCCATAAGTAGAAACTTCTCCATTTTTAGGGCTTGGTCTGATTTCTCAAAAATTGGCAAGAAGAATACTGTGCCGTGTTCTTTTACAGGTTTCGAAAAAGCTGTTAGATCGTTATCTTCGTCTCGCTAATTAATACTTTGTTACTGCTAAGTTGGTATTCATGTTATATTTTTCGCTATGCCTTTAGCTGTTGTTTCTTTTGGTACCTTGCGATTTTATTTTTCTGTTGTTTGCTATATTCATACTGTGGGTTGCAATGTAGAAATTTTGAATTTGAATCCTGAGCGACACAAATTCAATCCCAGTAGACCTGCTTAGCAGCACTCTTCTTTACGATTTCGAGGCGGATGGGACAATGTACATAAAGTCATCATCGAAATCCATCCAAGAGGCCGCGCATCTGCAGCGCCAAGGAAGCGAATTGTGGCGCTTTCATGACGAAAGGTGCTGTGGTTGCTGAGCAGGACCTCCGCAGCACTCTGCCCCAGCGTTACGCCCACTAGTTCAGTTGGTGACTTGGGTGAGCTTGGTTGCTGTTGGCTTTTAATTCTGGAGGATGATTTCCATTCTAGCGCCTGTATCTTCCAACTTGCCTGTGTAATGCCTTATCAATCAAAACTGCATGTTGGCAGGATGGCAGCTATCGGGGTTGTGTCCGAACAACTTTTCTTTGTCGCCACTCATTTTCGCAATCATCGTATTATTGAGCACCCCCTTGTACCCTAAAACCTCCCTAGGATCTACCCCTCGATGCCTTAAAGGAAGCGATTACGATAGATCTCAAAGGGGTTTAGAGGGGACGTGGGGGTCTCAATAGTACGCCAATGGCGAAAAAAGCAAAGAAATCCGTCGAAAATAAGCAAAATGGTACCCCTTTGATTGCCCTTTCATTTTCGACCATGGATGAGCGACGGTAAAGAACGACGTTGTTCGGACGTGTTAACCCCGATAGCCGCCATCATGCCAACAAGCATAGTGTTTTGATTGATAAGGCAATACGTGGGCAAGTTGGAAGATACAGCCGCTAGAAGGGAAATGATCATCCAAAATGAAAAGCCAACAGCAAACAGTCCATCCAGATCATCAACAAACTAGTGGGGCGTTACGTCACTGGGGGCGGGGCGTCACACACGGCGTCCACACGCCGGTTCCCCCCTGCCTCCTGCTCAGCAACCACCACTCTAGCACCGCCGGGAAGGCCACACATCGCTTCCTTGGCAGCCAAGTAATTGCTCCGTGTGGCGCAGGTTCTCCCCCGATGCGAAAATTCCTTATCGTAATCGCTTCCTTTAAGCATTCGCAAGGTTTGTAGAGCTTGATCGTTGATTGTCCAATATATCGACGACGGTAGGGGTGAACTATACTCCTGAGCACACTGTACTTATTGTTTTCGAGAACTATGCTCAGGCTGATGCAGCTACCTATATGCTGGGCTTCCGGAGTCCCCCAACGACTTTCGTGGCAGGGAGACGTTCATTTCTCTTCCTAGACCAGCAAGAGGCTGCGCGTCTCGTCCAAAGCCTAAGATTTAGGCTAGGCTCATGAATACGAACTGGCTTACGCTTACGCCTTAAGGGGATTAGACCTAGGCTTAGTCCTTCCATGCTTGCTTCGAGCAAATGGGTGGTATCCTAATCCTAGGTGTCCCGACCTGAGGAGGAGAAATTAGCACCTTTTGTGGCCACGAGTTCGTGGCATTTTCTTCCCTTTTGATTCGGTTTTGGAAGTATCGGGTTCTTTCCAACATTATTTTTGCTCCTGTCCACTGAATATGAGTATTCAGCAACTGATCCCTCCTCTAGGATGTGCCATGCACTCATCTTTGTTGAAGTCTCTGTGAGGGAATTTGGAAACTCTGTCCCCATGTCCAGATATGTATTGGATTTTGAATGTTTTCGCAGCGTCTTTGCGCTTACCGACCCTCCGTCTCGTAGGTAATGCCGCTCTCCGCATTTCCACTTGAATACCCCCTTCTTGAGTCCCAAATAGACCTTTCTCTTCCCATAACGGCTCCTATGACCATTTGCCGGCGAAACCCATGCTTCACGCTAATTAAATCTCATTCTGAAGGGGAATGCGGTCGACGATAGAGTTTCGGCAACTCTGCGGCACAGTGCGCCATAACGTGCTCGACTGCTAAAGTAGCGCTCTACTGCCAGTCATATGTTTTCTGTTTGTTGATGCTTATTATCGGATATTTATTTGGGGGGGGGGATGTTGCCAGCTTTTTAATCTTTATTTTTAATCTTTTTAGTGTTGTGCGGAACTGCCTTATGTGTTTGCTAATGTTCTCACAGTTACTCACAGAACTGTTAAGTTTTTTTTCAGGAACATATGAAATCGGCTTCATCCCGTCCAGCTAGTATGTGTATGACGCCACGACAGGATCCTTTAACGTTCGAGGTGACTAACTTTTCAGGAATTTTTGCGGCTTTATATGAATTGAATGCTTAGCCGGGTAAGTCATTCGGCGCAATGTGCCTCCGGCGGGGAGGGGGGGGGGGGGCGGGCCAGCCGGAACTTGGCGTTCTGTTCACAGACTTGTTTCAGTTTTGAGCCAGGCTTTGGAAGGAGAGAGGAATCAGACGCTCGGAAGCAATTTCATTCGCTCTGTGTTAGGCTGTGTCCCAGTGGCCTTCCGACAGACTGTCCCTGGAGGCACATTGCGCCATCATTTCTTTCAACGTATAGAAATGTAGATGAACTCCTCCTGAATGGTCTCTGGAATCAGAGTAGGCACCTGAGGGAACATACTTCCCATCCCCTATCAGTATTGATGATTGAAGCTCAAAGAATCAAAAGCAAACCACATATCAAAATATTGCGCTCTTAGTTAATCCTCGCTCATGCCCTCACTCTCCCTCTTCCTCGCCCTAGCCAATCCGCCTCTCCGCCAGCGGCTCCACCCTCACCTAGATATGTTAGGCTCCCTCTCCCTTTCAGTTTCCAAACATGATCACTCGAGGACGCATTTCCCGCGCCAGCTGCGCAGCCCTTCTCTGCACGCACTACCCATCCTCCAACCAACTCCCCCCCCCTAAACTCCCGTGCCAGACAACAAGACACCCGGCCGACCCCGCGCACCTCTCTACGCCCTCGTTGTGCTGATTTAGCAACGGTCATAACGATCCGCAAGACATTGGATGCACCCCCCCCTACCTCCGCCCACTCCCGTAGTCGCCCCGACGCTCCCCCGAATGTGTCGACCGACGATAGCACCTCCTCCCCCCCCCCCCCCCCCCCCCCCCCCCCCCCCCCCCCCCCCCCCCCCCCCCCCCCCCCCCCCCCCCCCCCCCCCCCCCCCCCCCCCCCCCCCCCCCCCCCCCCCCCCCCCCCCCCCCCCCCCCCCCCCCCCCCCCCCCCCCCCCCCCCCCCCCCCCCCCCCCCCCCCCCCCCCCCCCCCCCCCCCCCACCCCCCCCCCCCCCCCCCCCCCCCCCCCCCCCCACCCCCCCCCCACCCCCCCCCCCCTCTCCTTTCCAGCTATACCGGTCCTCCGCCGGACACCGCCCACTCGCTGCACTTCCCTCACCCCCCCCCCATGCATCTCCCATCGATTCGGCTTTCTTCCCAAACTATCTTTCTCATCGCATCCATTTTCTACTCGGAACGACCATTCCTTATCATCACAAATTTGTTTCTTCACGCCCCTTAGCATACATTCAGAACGATGATCGACCCCCCCCCCCCCCCCCCCCCCCCCCCCCCCCCCCCCCCCCCCCCCCCCCCCCCCCCCCCCCCCCCCCCCCCCCCCCCCCCCCCCCCCCCCCCCCCCCCCCCCCCCCCCCCCCCCCCCCCCCCCCCCCCCCCCCCCCCCCCCCCCCACACCCCCCCCCCCCCCCCCCCCCCCCCCCCCGCCTCTCTCAGCCTCCGCTCCCTCACCGAACTCTGGTATATTGATTTTCCCCCCCCCCCCCCCCCCCCCCCCCCCCCCCCCCCCCCCCCCCCCCCCCCCCCCCCCCCCCCCCCCCCCCCCCCCCCCCCCCCCCCCCCCCCCCCCCCCCCCCCCCCCCCCCCCCCCCCCCCCCCCCCCCCCCCCCCCCCCCCCCCCCCCCCCCCCCCCCCCCCCCCCCCCCCCCCCCCCCCCCCCCCCCCCCCCCCCCCCCCCCCCCCCCCCCCCCCACCCCCCCCCCCCCCGCCCCCCTCTCGTCCAGTACACTACCCCCCTCAGCCCCCTCTCACCCCTGTTACCTCTCGCGTTGCGACCGCTCGTTTAAATTAGCAGTGATGCTGATCTGCCTCCGACCCGCCCCACACCACCCCCCCTCCACCACGCCCCGGCCACCCTGCACTCTACACCCGCCCGCCTCCCCGCCCCCCCCGCTGTAAATTTGGGCGATACACCCTTACCCTTCACCACCTCTACCTCTCCCCCACACATCGCCCAACCCACAAGCCCTCACCTGACCGACTTCGCCCCCGCCGGAATCACCGCCCTCATCTCACCCCACTCATCCCTATAGCTGTCTCTCTAGCTTAGCTCCAGCGCTTATTTCTCTCCTCCACTCCCAACACTATGCAGTCCCCCACTTTACCCACTCCAGGTTCTCCCAAGACGCACCTCTCAACCGCCCATGCGCCACACCTCCGACACGCCCTCTCCTCTCTCTCCGGCCCCCCCCCCCCCCCCTATGCCATTGAACCAGGTGTGGTTTCTCATGTTTTTGTTTTTCTACAAAGGATCGGTTAAAAGTGTTCGCTGTATGTTTTTATGCATTAGTTGTTTCTCTTTGCCACTTGTAGCTTTTGATATGGTGTGTCTTTGAGTTTCTTTTCGAATCCACGAGTCATTCACAAAAAAATCGATGCAAGTTTTTAGCTGGGTTTCGTATCTTCTAATGAAAAACGTAATGCATAAAAAACCGTCCAGGGAACTTTTGGCTGATGCTATACCTTTATCAGTCTGCTTAGGATAGTTGAATTGTTCTACAAGTGATTTTTCAAGGTGCTAACGTTGATACAACAAAATGCACGGATATTGACTAATGTCGAGCTGATGTATTCACGGAAGGTGCGATCTTTTCAGACATTAATTTTGCAAAATAAATTCCCAGAGGTTTTTGTGATGGTGTTTCCATATTCGTTGAGTTGTTTTAGGATCCTCTCGGACGCGATATTTGTGCGTATTTGGGCAACGATGGAATTCGTCTCGTGTTTCACCCTGTCACCCAACTACTCCGAGTGAGTCTCTATTCCGCTTTTTTTCCAACAGTAACATTCATGTGATAAGGTTGTTATGCTCCTTGTCGGAATCCATCTTCCTTTGACCAATGCTTCTTTTTTTGCAGTTGATTGAGGTCGACAATCTTTCTCAAATTGTGCTCAAGTATAAGTGAGTTTTCCTTCCACTGTCGTCTGTGTGTCGCGGAATGCGCGGCGAAGAAGTCGTATTTGTCAAATGCTGGAGGAGGTCGTTTTGGCGGAAATACTAGAGTTAGAATTCAAATCCTTCGAAGCATCTAGGTTTTGGAAAATTTCAGGAAGTTTTGAAATTTTTGGCGTTTCAAGTATGTCAGGCTTCCGCCGAGATAGTTTAGGAAACATAGATGGGGACTCGATCCAGGGGATTAGGAGAAAATTTCCGCGTCGCTACGCTTTCCCTGCTTTCATCTTATTTTTTCGTTTGATGATGCGATTTCGTGATGGTTTCGTGTTTATCTTCCCATATTTTACTGTAATCGTTGCTTTTTTCTACACCATTTGTCGAAAGTCTGAAGACCACTTCGAATTAAGGGAGAAAATCTTCTCAGAACCTGGTGCTGAAGTCAGCATGGACAAAGTCGACGAATTCTTCGGTTCTACACACCCAGGAGGTTGTTATTGTTATTGCTTTTCTTGTCTCTGCAGTTGAATTCCTACAATCCATCCTATTAGCTACAGTATCAGTGAGCTTCGTAAACTACTGTAGCTAATATTTCATTGAAGTATTAGTTTCTTGGTGCTACGGTATTTGCAATAGCTTGTTAGTGGCACATTTTTGGGTGAGTGTCTCATAATACTGTGAATGGCTGTGCCATGTTTCCGCTGCCAAGCCCTTCATTTAATTTTTCATTAAATTGATTTTAAATAGGATGTTTTTACAATATGAATGTTGAAAACCCAGATTTCGTATTAAAAAAGGGAAATTTCCAGCGTATGACGACAAGCAGAAGATCTGTGTGAAAAGTTGGCGTGGCCTCT